GGGGTGGGAGGGAGGGGAGGGTGGGTGATGGGTATTGAGGAGGGCACCTGTTGGGATGAGCACTGGGTGTTGTATGGAAACCAACTTGACAATAAATTTCACATATTAAAAAAAAAAGATCTGTGCACTTCACTGTAAATTAACTAAACATCAATGAAAGAAATAGGTTAAAAACAAAAAGAAGAAGCAAAAGAAAAAACAGTCAGTGCTGTTGAAGGGCCTGGGCTGGGCTGTTGGGCACATAGGTCCAGGTTCGTGCCAGGTAACAGATGCTGTGATCTGGGGAAAGGGTATCCATTTTTTTGTGAGTCCGTCCAATGGAATGGTTTACAGCCAACCAGAATCTTGTTTTCAGAGAATAACTTTCAGTGACATGGTGAAGTGTTCATGTTATAATGTTAAGAGAAAAAAAACCAGAGTTATAAATTTGTGAAAAGCCATTTGGACACAGGCAGAAATCCATCATTTCACTGAAACAGTGAACCATTCATGGCCCCTCTTCTACATCATGATCCACGCACATAAACACCCACACAGAGCGGCTAGCCTGTGGGCAACCCCGTGCAGGAGCAGAGTATCAGGCCATGACGGGGGCATGGCTGGGGTTTGGGGGATGCGGCAGGCCCTAATTACCAAGGAGCTGGAGGAGACACACACTGAATTTTCCAGAAGAGTTGCCCCTTGAGCCAAGGTTTTGTTTCTTTTTAATTAAGCTATAATGTACGTAAAGTATATAAAGTGCACGAATCTCAAGTATAAGCTGATGACTGCTTACTCGGATAATCGCTGTGTGACCACCGCCCAGCTCGACATTCCCAACCTCCCCAGTTCCCTTGTGTCCATCTGTCTTTACCCTTCCCAGTAGCGATTCTGACTTCTACTGCCATAGATTTTTCTTCTTCTTCCGGCACTTCACGGAAATGGAATCGTACAACATTTATTCTTTCACTCAACGTTGTATCTGTAAGATTTACACTGCTGCGTATACCCAGATTTCTTTTTTTTTTTTTTTTAATTGCTGTGTCCTTGGCATGAATCTACCTGTTGATAAAACTCTGGGTTTAATTTCTGGCTGTGTAGAGCCGTGAAGATTTTATACATGTCTTTTGATGACATAAGTACTCGTTTCTCTTGGGTATACTTAGCAGTGGAGTTGCCAAGATACAGGGTAACGATGTGTTCAGCTTTAGTGAAAACCCACCAAATGGTTTCCAAATAATTGGGTCATTTTACCTCCACACCGGCGGTGTCTGAAACTTCCAAATGAATTGAATCTTTCTGTGTGGATGAACGTGGCAGCTGGAGAAGATGGCATATGGAGGCTACAGTTAGGGCCAAAGATACTCTGGGTAAGAGGAATGTCAGGGAGGCACAGGTGGCCATGAGAATGTGCCACTTTAGATCTCTTACTCTGAACCCACCACCAACCGGCACCGAGGCCATGCTTCCCACAGCAGCCCTCAGCCAGTGACCAGGCTACTCATCTAATTCACAACTTTGGCTCCAGAACTCCTGATCGGCTTGGTGCGACAATCTGAGAACTGAGCTACAGCCTGGGACTCTACCTCCTGGACCTCCTTTCTGTCCCTCCCAGGAGTCAAACTTGCAACAGGTTCTCTTCTCTCAGGACACAGTTGATCTTAGCTGTTTCCACGGAAGCCAGACAACGGTGGAATGTCAGGTATGCTATTTGGCAAAACTGCTCACAGTAAAACTGACGTCTGACAGATAAGCTACATCTGCACTGGAAGGACTGTGAAAGAACTAAAATATCTGGTGGGACGCCAGAGCTGGGGGCTCCCCTGAGTGCAATGGCTTTAGAATCCGGGATGTTCCTTGAGGACCCTGGGAACTAAAACCGTTGTTTGAAAGAGAATGGCTCCTATGGGGCTTCTAAGCCAGTGGCCCCAACTACTGGGGGTAGTTGGACCCAACTACTGGGTCTTGCCCCATCACCCTCGAGCAGGGACTTGCAGAACAGGGCGAGGATGGCCCCGGGACTGGTGTGAGGGCTCCTCCTGCAGAAGAAAAGTGCTCTACGTTGTCCTGCTGAACGTCCTGTCCTATGTCCTTCTAAGGGGACCTGATGCCAAGTGTGGTCTATTGTGGTCTTGTGAGTCCTCTTTAGCCTAAGAAAACCCCCTGGTGGACACTGCTCTTGCTCACCACAGCCCTGTCCCTCCAGCTTCCAGCCTCGTTGCCCCACTTAGCCGGAAATGCGATATCCGTCCAGCGATCAAGAGGAAATCCAACCAGCCTGTCTCACGTCACAGTCCTCGGTGCTTTCCCATCACCACGTCGCCTCGGGTGACAGCTGGGGTTAAAGAGCATGTGGGTACCGACTAACAGCCCGCTTCCTGCTGTCCAAAAAAAAAAAGACTGGACCAAGATGTTTATAATCATTTAATGAATGTTCCACACACACCTTCACTGTGCTACAGGCGAATTTCATGATGACGGAAGCTGATGAACCACCCACCCAAGCAACCACGTGATCTACTCACAGTTTCCAAACACCTGGAGATCAACCAGAAAGATTCCGTAGGGAACGGCACGATTACTCGGCCAGAGGCTCCTTAGGGTTCTTACTTTCCTTCTTCCTTCTCCTCCTCCTCCTCCTCCTCCTCCTCCTCCTCCCCCTCCTCCTGCTAAGGACCTTCTCCACGGTCTGGATGCTCAGGATGGGAGAAGGGGGCTGGGAGGGTCCCATCGTACCAGGGCAAAGAGGACTGTGGACCCCACACTCCAGATGCAGTAAGATGACATGGGGGCACAAGCCTGGGGCAGGCCTGCTCAATAAATAAACAATTCCCAGAAGCCACCACACGGGGCTAGTGGGCCCAGGGCCACTGAGCTGGAGGAGCCACACCCCCACCCAGGCCTGGCCACGGCACGCTCGCTACGTGTTGCACACCAGCACATCTGCAAAGGGTCCCAGGAGGATCTTGTTGAAGATGCAGCGGACCCACACCAAGTAGGTAGTGAAAGGCTTGATGTTCTCAGTGAAGGTGTGGTTCTGCAGGGCCAGGATGTAAGGCACATAGGTGTTCTCACCCTGCTCCTGGAGCCACACCTCGTACTTCACCTCCCTCACCTTCAGGTACTTGAGGTTCCACGGGATCTGCCAGGACACGGTGAGGCGCGCCTCGGAGGCGCCCTGCACTGACGCCTGGCACCGCGCATCCCGGACCTTGCCTGGGTAGAGGCCGACAGTCCACTTCTGCTTCCGCGGCCCCGGCCGGCCCTTTACCACGCGCCGTATGGTCTGGATGAGGGATGGGATGTCCACCTTGGTGTCCTGGTAGATACGGAAGAGCCACTCAGGGTTCCGGCAACAGAGATGCCGCGGGACTTCGCGGCTTTGCAGGATACGGGCCTGCTCCGCCCGGTCTAGGTGAGCGATGCCCCCCTGGTCCCAGGGCCGTTCAGGGTGCGTGACTGTGTTCTCTGGCATCATGTTCCGCCAGGCTACGTACTGGAGGTCCATGCCAGGCAGCGTGGCCAGCGTCTTATAGGGCGTATAGTGGTCGGGATTGACAGCATACGGGAAAAGCTCGACCACAGTGGCCCCACGGGGCAGGAAGAGGGCAGTGACCAGCTGGGCCCCGTGCATGCTGACCAGCATGGAGGCGTTGCTGACCAGCCGCACGACATCTGCAAAGGCGTGGTCCTCCAGGGACACCGTCACCGTCTTCATCTGGAACTCCTGGGCCAGTGCCAGCAGCAGCTCTGCCTCATTCAGGATGAGTCTGTTCTGGGTACGGCTGAAGACCAGAATGTAGTCTTCGCCTAGGGGAGCCCCTGCCCGGCTCACGTTCAGCTTTTCCATCATGAACCGTGCGAACTGCCGGATCTCGTTGCCCGAGACCAGGACGTTAGCCTTGGGGCCCTGGGGCTGGACGAAGCCATACTGGTACCACGTGGTGACCTTGGAGAGACCCACGAAGGCATGGGAGAAGCACAGCAGCCGGCCCAGGGTCTTGAGCTGTGCCCGCAGGAGTGGCTGCTTCGGGCTGAGGAGCTTGTAGAGCTCAAAGTGTGCGCCCTCGCTCCAGCCCTCCATGAAGAAGAGCCGGGCCTCGTGGGCCAAGCCGGGGAACTGCCTCAGGGTGTAGAAGAGAGGCAGCAGGTCGTCGTGGAAGACGTGCATGAGGTTGTCGGGGTTGAACCGGTTGGCGAGGAGCGCCACGTCAGGCACGAACACGGGCTTCGGCATGAAGCGCAGGGCGGCGGCCGGCAGCTCCACGAAGTTGAAGTACTGGGTGTTGTGGTCCTCCACGGTGGACAGGTCGAGCAGGGCCGGCTGGAAGCGCCGGGAGCCCAGGTTGGGCAGCATGACGGACGCGTTGCCGTGGAAGAAGATGAACTCCTCGGCCTCGCTGGAGTAACACAGCCACTCGAAGCGGCAGAGGCGGTCAGTGTGCGTGCGGCCCGTGCACACCATGTGTGTGCCTCCCTCCATCAGGGTCTGCAGCGCCCTGGGGTAGTCGATCCTCAGCGCGGGGCCCGGCTCTGGGGCCTGGCGGCCGAGGGCCAGCTCCTCCTCCAGAGCGGCCGCATGCTCACGCAGCCGCACGTGCTTCCACAGGACCGCTGCCAGCACGGACACCAGGAGGGCGTTGAACACCGCCGACAGGTGCATCCTAATGCCACCACGGGGCCCTAGTGACAGGACAGCCCCCGGGGAGTGCCACAGGCCTGGCGGGCTCGACCCATCTCTGCGGGCACGCTGACGGTCGGCAAAAGCCTGCGGGAGACAAGGAAAAGGGAAAGGTGTCGGCATGGTCTGTCTGCGGTCACCTTAGGCTCCTGCGGCGTGTCGGGCACTGTGCCTGCCACAACGCTGGATTCTCTTTTTGTTTTGAGAGCGAGCGTGTATGCGGGCACCGATCAGGGGAGGGGCAGAGGGGGAGAGAGAGAGTCTTAAGCAGACTCCAAGTTCAGCGTGGAGCCCCACCTGGGGCTGGATCTCACAACCCTGAGGTCATGACCCGAGCCAAAGTCAAGAGGCGGGCGCTTCACCGAATGAGCCACCCGGGCGCCCCGGCACTGGATTCTTGAACCATCTTGCGCGTTCGAAGGTGTGGTAGATTAGACGGCTGTTCCAAATATTCACTGCCTCCCTTCCCCTCTGCCTCCACAGGGGGAGTATACATCCCCACATCTTGACTTTGGGCTTGACCGCATAACTTGCTTTGGCCAATGAAGTGTTAGCAGAGAAGGCATAATCGGAGCCTTGAAAAGAGCGTGTGTGGCTGGCCTCGCCCTCTTTATACCTATGACATTGCCGTGAGGAGAACGTGTTCAGCCTAACCTCCGGTCCCAGGAGGAGTGACACACGTGTGGAGCAGCGCTGCTCCGGCCAAGCCCAGTGTAGCTCACCTGACCCCCAGGTTCAGAACCAAGATCGTCAGAACTACCGGTCAATGCAGGGACGTCTGAGCTGGGTAAGTGCTTATTGTTGTCCATCATGGAATCCTGCGGCTGTTTGTTATGAAGCACCACTGTGGCCACAGCTAACCAGAGGACCTGTGATGAGAGGCCACGGGGAAAATCCTGGGTAGGGACCTGGCATTGCTGGACTTTTCCTTACGTGGGACTGAAGGCCTGTGAGTGTCACTGCCAGGCTGTACCCCAGGACCCCAGTATGCCTTCTTAGGACACACAGCAGGTGCACCTGCGGGATACGGGGGACCCTCTGCTCTTGTTTAAAGCTCCCATTTGGAAATCATGCCTTTCAGAGTCCCATGAAAGGACGGGTAGGTTTGTGCCCCCTCCGTGGTCCAGTAATAAAACTGTGTCTGCACGTCACCACTGACACCCCGACAGAGAGGCCTGGCTGGGCTACACCACCTGCTCCGTTTTTCTGCGCTCTGGGGAAGGGTGACACTTGCTGTGAAGCCCAGGACGGCTCAGACTGACGGATCTCACGCTCAGGCCTCACAGGAGGAGCACGCGTAACACCTGATGCCTACACGGCACTGCACTGGGGAGGGACGGAGCTGCCCCTTGATTCCCTTGGGGCTAGCTTTGGACTCTTGGTGTCCTGCAACTTCCCTCTCCCTGCGATCACAAAGATCAAAGTGCAGTCCTGCTCAGAAAGAGGCAGTGGCTTAGGCTGGGTTCCCTCAGAATTGGAATCAGGGATAAGGGTTGGAGTCAAAATAGTTTGAGAAATTATCCCAAGAAACCTGTGTAGGAGAGTAGGGAATTAAGAGGGACAAGGAGTGAAGCCAACAGAGGGCACATCAATGAGCCCGTCGCTACTCTGCGAAAGCCAGGCTACTCGTCTACCAACTCCTACCCAGCATCAGTTGACGGTCATTCCTGGGGACACTGTCTCTTCCAGCCTATCCTCATCTAAGGGTTGAGCACGCACACATTCATACGTATGCACATTATATTCCCCACCAAAACATTTCACAAAGAATTACTCTGACTAGCTATAATGTACTCCAGTGTTTCCTTTTCCAGCCCGATATTCTATTCTGTTTTAAAAGGTGGGGGGTGGGGGGGTGGGGGGGGTGTTCACCTTAATTGATTTTACAGCCTAACAGGGTCAGCAATTTGCTGTTTAAAAAATACTGGTCTAGACCACAAATTCTCAAACTTGCCTGGTTGTCGACATCCCCAGAGGCACTCACTAAAACTGTATATTCCCAGGCACAGATCCTGGAGGTTCTGATTCAGTAACAGGTCTGGAGTATGGCTCAGGCATCTTTTCTTTTTCCTGTCTTCTTGCAGATTATTTGAATTACATTTTTATCTATATATACTGTTTTTGAGTGTATTTCTTGGTACAGATTCTCTAGTGGTTGTTTTAGGCATCATACTATTGACATGCAACTTCGCACAGTCTACTAGTATTGACATTTTACATCTTGACTAAGTAAAGAGACCTTATCTCTGTTGGGCTCTTTTACCCTTCTCCCTTGCAATCATCTTCAACATTTCCTCTACAGACATTAAAATCCACATCAGACAGTATTACAAATTTGGTTTCAACTGTCAAATGTCATTTTCTCGAGAGGGAAAGGAAAGCCTATTACATTTACACATATTTTTATTCTTTCCATTCTTTCTTTGTCCCAGGTTTTCTTTGGTTATCATTTCTTTTCTTTGGAGAACCTCCCTTCATTACCATTGTAGGGAAGTTTGCTGAGAACAAATTCTTAGTTTTCCCTCAAGTGACAAAGTCTTGATTTCACCTTCATTCCTAAAGAATATTTTCACTGGGACAGAACTCTGGGGTGACAGTTCTCTCTGCACTCTGGCCTCCACATTTCTGATGAGAAATCCACTGCACCTAAACTGCCATTCCCCTGGACATAATGCATCCTTCCTCTCATGTGGCTCTGAAGAGTCTGGTTTTCAGAAGCCTGATGATTATCAGGTGTCCTGGTGTGGGTTTCTTTGGGTTCACCCTGTTAGGGCTTCATTCACTCTTGAATCTGTAGGTTTGTATCTCTCACCAAATTTGGGAAATTTTCAGCCATTGTTTCTCTGATACTTTTTCAGCCTCCAGGTACATGAATGTTAAATATTATATATATATAATTGTAAATATTTATTATATATATAATTATAAATGTGTGTGTGTGTGTGTGTGTGTGTGTGTGTGTGTGTCTTTTTAGGTCTCTAAGGCTCTCTTCAATTTTTTTCCAGTCTATTTTCTCTCTGTTGTTTAAATTGGATAATTTCCATTGTTTGTTTTCATGTTCACTGATTTTTTTTCTTCTGTCATATCCATTCTCCTATTGAGCCATTCCAGTGATTTTTTACATTTTGGTTACTACACTCTTCGGTTCTCAAATCTCCATTTTGTTCTTTATATGTTTCCTTTCTTTGCTGAGACTTAGCCTGGGCATTTGGGGTATAATGTTATGATACTCTGGAGCTTATATTAAACCTTCTATTTTAGCAGGTTTTTGCAAGAACCATGCTAGTGGGGGAAGGAAAAGGACGGAGTCTCTACCGTTGGATGAGAGGAAATCCACGCTCCCCGTGTGGCCTCCACCAACAGCACCCTGGCAGGGAGAGTGAGAGACACAGCAGAACCATGGAGTAGGAAATCTCAGCTCCTCAGCTGGCCTCTAATGACACCCAGGGGGTACCTCATCATCACTGGGTGGGGGTCGAAGTCTAGGCTCCAGTGACACCTCAAGGGGACTGTCGTGGTGGGGGGGGACATCTTGTTACCTCTGGGTGGTGGTAAAGGTCCAGGTTCTCATCCAGACCCATCGGGGGAGGGTAGGTTGGAGTGAAGGTGGGGGTGGGTACCTGGTTGGTTACCACAAAGCAAGGATGGATGTCTAAGCTGTCCATTCAGCCTTTACTAGAACCAGGAGGGAGGGGAGAAGCAATCTTCCTTGGTGTTTTGCAGGACTAGGGTGTTACTCTCCAAAAGGTTTGTTTCGTTAGGCTGTTCCTTTTCCAGTCCTTTGACGAGAGAGAGCGAGCTTTCCTTGGGGCTTTTTCTGGTCGATGCTCACTGGCATTTCTGGGTTGTGGGCTTCTTTGGCACCCAGTCTGGGATACATAGGAGGCAAATAGAAAATCCAAGGAACTCAGTACTGTGTTCTTCTCTCCACCTTTCAGTCTTCTGATGTTTTATACACAATGTCCTGTATTTTTAGCTGTATTAGTGGATGGGTAGGGATAAATGTGTCTACTCTGTTTTGACCAGCACCCAAAGTCTCATTGGCATCTGCTTTTTTACTAAGCTCCCAGGTGATTCTGGGGGGTACAACCACATTTGAGAAACACCAAGTGGCTCTTAACCAAAGAACTAGGCCATGAATCCCAAGAGCCCCCAAAGTCTTAATGTATTCCAGCATCAGTTCAAAATTATAAGTCCAAAGTCTCATCACCATGAGATATGGTGAACGAGGGCTTCCTGGAGCCTTGAGTACCTAGTGGTTTGCAGACCCTCATCCTTGGGGGCCGAGGGTGGTGGTAGGCAACAAGGACACGAGGCCAGGGTCGTGGGCCCCCACTTACCTCCACACAAAACCAAGCACCTTTAATTTCATATATTTAGAGGTACTCTAGTGGGTTGAATAATGTCTAAATTCAGGTCTACCCAGAACCTCAGAATGTGATGTTATTTGGAAAACGGGTCTTTACACACACAATTATTTAAGGATCTTGAGATGAGATCATAATGGATTAGGGTGGGCCCTAAATCTAATGAAAGTGTCCCTAGTGACAGAAAGTGACAGAAAACACAGAGGAACGGAGCAGGCAGCCACGTAAAAACAAAGACAAGCGATTGGAATCATGTAGCTATAAACCAAAGACCACCCAGGACTCCCAGGAGCCACCAGAAGCCAAAAAGGGGAAGGGTTCTCTCCTTGAGCTTTTTTTTTTTTT